GTTCAATATATGAGTAGTATCAGGATATGGCTTGATTCTGTGTGTTATGAAGGCTTATATGATGATAACAAGAAGGCTTTGTCTTATATTGGACAGAAGTACCTGTAGTAATCTAGTGTTGCTTTGTAATTGCAAGATTTGCTTGAACTTTTCCTGCTAGTTCTATAACATCTAGTGTTTGGTGAATACAGAGTTACTGCTGTAGATGGCCGTTACCAAATTGGTATCTACACTGTACGAAAGATTCAATATGGTGAGGAGGTGACATTCGATTACAACTCCGTTACAGAGGTGTGACTCTTTTTCCTCTTGGTCTCATGTACACTAAATTGCAATTTACATAACTACACAAGTACACATGTAACGATTGTGCTCATCTATTTTTATGACAGAGTAAGGAAGAATACGAAGCGTCAGTTTGTTTGTGTGGCAGCCAAGTTTGCCGGGGAAGCTACTTGAATTTAACAGGCGAAGGTGCTTTTCAAAAGGTAAGAGAAAAGTAATGGCTGCACTTAATACTTAGAGGATCAGATTCCTCTTGAGGGAACTAAGATATTTTCTTTCAACCTCAGTCTTGGTCCCCAAAGATAGGAATTCCTGTGGGTATTCTTCTCCCTTATCCTTTAAAGTCATTTTATTTTTATTAACTGGATTATTGTCCATTCATCAGGTGCTAAAAGAGTGGCATGGAACTCTTGATCGTCATCAGTTAATGCTGGAGGCTTGCGAGTTAAATTCAGTATCTGAGGAGGACTATCTTGAGTTGGGAAGGGCTGGTTTAGGCAGTTGCTTGCTGGGTGGGTTGCCAGATTGGGTGATTGCATATTCAGCTCGCTTGGTATGTTGTTTTTCTGCTGCCTTTGTTTTTACTTTTTAGTAATTATGGAAATCAACTGTCATTATTTTTATTCCCTTTCATTTTGGTTGAAGGTGAGGTTTATAAATTTTGAAAGAACAAAGCTTCCTGAGGAGATTTTAAAGCACAATTTGGAAGAAAAGAGGAAGTACTTTTCAGATATTTGCCTTGAGGTTGAGAAAAGTGATGCTGAGGTTCAGGTGATTTTTTTTTTTTTTACTTGTCTATGTGTGTCCTTTTAAGATCATGTTTTTTGTGGTTGCTCCTGGCTTACCATTTCTTTTTGCATGATAGGCCGAGGGTGTGTACAACCAAAGGCTTCAGAATTTGGCTGTAACTCTTGACAAGGTGATTACCCTTTTCCTATGTGTAAAGAGACTTATCATCCTTTTATTTCTTTTTGTCTTTGTTAAATATTTGATAAACATATTTAGTAAGATATCTATAGTACTTAGAGGTTGTGGTCTAGGACATTATCATGACATAATGAATCTTACTGTGGTATAGGCTTATCGTGGGTGGGCCTCGTTATACTGGTTTCACAATAGAATGTTGCATGATGTGAAGATTTTGAAATTAATGGTTTTGCTTAGCTTGCAATTTTTATCACTTTTGTTGCCAAACTTCTGCACAGATTTGACTGTTGTCTATATTTATGCATGTTAATTGATTCTCAAATTTATCTAGACTGTTTTGTACGGAGAAACTACACCTAATGAGGCTTAATGTTTAAATCCTTATTCTGATATTCTCTGCTATCAATAAGTGGTCGTTTTGTCGTATTCTATTCCACTGTATGAAGATCTGATCAATGATATCTACAGGTGAGGTATGTTATGAGATGCGCTTTTGGCAACCCCAAGGATGCTCCACCTCCGCTAGAAAGGTTAAGTCCTGAAGAAGCTGTTTCCTTTCTGTGGAAGGGAGAAGGATCACTTGTACAGGAGCTTCTTCAGAGCATGGCTCCTCATGTGGAGGAACACTTGCTAAATGATCTACGGACAAAGATCCTTGCTCGTGATCCATCAGGTTCAGATGACATATGGAAGGAACTTAAAAGATCTTTATTATGGTGAGTAACATACACATGAGTTAATTTTCTTATGCTAGGTTTTGACTCGGTAAACGATTCCAACTTTATGGGAATTTTTGGTTTGTTTTTGAAGGTTGAGAGATGAAGTCCGGAATCTTCCTTGTACATACAAGTCTAGAAACGATGCTGCTGCTGACTTGATCCATATTTATGCTTACACACGTTGTTTTGTTAGAATACGGGTACGTCCTTCTAATGAGAACCTCTAAAAAGTTTTCTAATTGATTTGCAATTCTGCTATCTGAATCTGAAGCGAGATTCATTCTACTCTCAGGAATACAAAAGTGTAACTTCGCCACCAGTATACATTAGTCCACTTGACCTAGGCCCCAAGTACACCGAGAAACTGGGATCAGGTTTTCAGGAGTATTGCAAGACGTATGGGGAAAACTATTGTTTAGGGCAGCTTATTTTTTGGTATAACCAGACTAGTGCAGAGCCGGATTGTAGCCTGGCAAGAGCGAGTAGGGGTTGCTTGTCAGTTACCGAACTTCAGTTCTTTCTACTGCCAAGGTTCAGAAACCTTCACGGCAGCGTGTTTATGGCCCAAGGACAGTGAAGTTTATGCTAGCAAGGATGGTGAGTTTCGGTCTCTCATATATCTATATGCCTTTAAGTTTGTTTGATTCGAGATGTGGCTTTGCTCATATATTCGATTGCTTTTCAGGAGAAGCAGCCGCAGAGACCTTGGCCAAAGGATCGAATATGGTCGTTCGATAACTCTCCCAGAGTTATCGGCAGTCCAATGCTGGACGCTGTTGTGAATAAATCTCATTTGGACAGGGAGATGGTGCATTGGTTAAAGCACAGACCCGCGATATTTCAGGCTATGTGGGATCGGTGAAGTTTTGCAAGCGTCAGGAACTGACAGCCGGATTACTCGCCCTAACTCTTTTTTCCCAATTGTTTCGGAATGATTTTTCGATATAAAGTTTAGTGCTGCCCCGTTCAATGTGGGGAGTTTGTAATCATTCCCAAACAGCGAGCTTTTCCAATTCTTGTGTACAGCTCTTCATCTTTGTAATTTGTAATTCATTACGTAGCAGTAGAACAGCTGTTTTTTCTCACCTCCACTTCTAATTTTTGAGAGAAATGAAAAGTAGAGAAGTAGTCCAATGCATTAGCTCTTGTCTTTGCATTTTGTTTTCCTTCTCTCCAAAATTACTTGGAGCATTTTTATCCTAATCGTCACGCGTATTGTGAAGCCGGGACTCTCTTTTTCCGATGTGAAAGAGCTTTTTCCGGTGACCCTTGGCGAAACTCCGTTGAGGCAAGGCTTGAATAATGCAGTTTCTAGACTTGAATGATGTTCTTCGGATTATGATTTTCACCCAAAATCCCCTACCTTACTCGGATTTCGCTCAAGTCACCCTCACCAATGTTAGCCCCGCCACCGTTGCAACGCCGCCGCCTCAGACTACTCCCAACTCCTGAGGTTCCCCAAACACGAACCCATTTCGGACTAGAAGGGATTACTTCCCAACCCCAACGTTTTACCATTGTCCGCCTCATCTCAACTTGCTGCCCACCACCCATTTCTCTCCAACTTCGCCTGCTCCGCTGCGTCATCTCCAGCACGACGACTACAAATCCACTTTGTTTTGTTGCATTTTTTAGACTTTTCCAATGAGTCAATTTGTTCTCTCATGAGAAGAAAACGGATCTATATGCATTAAAAGTTGTATCTATATGAATTGGATGGTATTTGGAAACACTTTGTGTTTGGCTCGCTTAGCCTCCCTGGCAAAATAAAAGAGCAACAGTGTGTTCCATTCATTGAGCCCAACAATAGTTCTATGCATAGCAACACAATACCTTGCTATTAAGTGGTCGGACAAACCTAATCACTTGACACCTCTACGGAATATTTTCTCATCAAATAATCATGTCCTATAAATATCCACAAAAAATTGGAGAGACCACAGAAGTGGAAGGCCCATCGCATCTGGGTCCAGATGAATAGAAAAGTAGGCCCAAGGCCCAAAGAGTGTCTCTCCTGCAGCTCATGAACTTGCACATTTGTGGATCACCAAAATATGTAACCCAAGAGACGTAAAGATCCATATACATACCTGCAAAGCCCAACTATTCCTGATTCAAATTCAGTTACTTCTTCCTATCCTAAAGTGGAATAATCCCAACCGACCCAGAAGGAAAGGAAATAGTCCCCTGCCGACCTAAAAAGAAAGGAATAGTCCCCCAGTTTGAGAAAATTTAGAAATCGTTTCACCATGGAGAACATAAATATCTCTGTCAATATACTTATGAGTATTTTTACTACCTTTCTAAAGAAAATGATTGAAATAAGACTAAGCCATATTTATAAATAATGATTTTCACACTCATATATCTCATCGCACTTCCACATGTTATTCAACTTTTGAATTTGAATAAATTCAAGAAAGATTAATGAAAAGAGAAATGATGAACACGCAATTTTTCTCCTCTTACAGTATTCCGTTTAATTTTGTTTGTTATTTGTGTTTGATTTATTCCATTAAAGTGAGATTTGTGAGAGGCTAATGATGTTTGGAAATCAACTCTCTAATGGGAAAAAGAAATGAAGAGATGAGGATAGACTGAAAAAACGAGAGTGTGAAAACCACTCACCCTTATCTTGGCAATATATTGGAGTACCAACCGATTATTGGCATACAGCAGGGCATATTAATCCAACTTCTCAATGGTGCCAAAACATCCTGCTTTGTTAAAACTTAAAAGTCAAAAAAGGGTCCTGCAATTACTCAGAGATTGACCTTGGGGAATGTGTGGGGTGGTGAAAGATGCTGAGGCACGCTGCTCTATGAGCTGGTTTATATGAGCTGGTTTATGCCCTACCTTGCTTGCTTCCCATCAAAGGAATCCACAACACGACCCAAGAAAAAAGAAGAGAAAGAAGTCCCTAAAGCAAATTAAAGCTCGCACTGTGTAGACAAAAGAAGCTTTTTTACCCACTTATCCCACCTCCTTGTAATCCTTTCTTCCACACATACTTTTCCCTGCAGTGTGGACTGTTTAGTCTATCCCCTTACATACAAACTCCCCTTCCTCCCACCCTCCTCATCATCTAAGAGAGATCTAGAGAGAGAGAGAGAGAGAGAATGGTTAAGATTGGAGGGTTCTTCGTCTGCCTCTTGATCGTGGCAATAGACATCGTAGCCGGGATTCTTGGCATCGAAGCAGAACTCGAACAAAACAAGGTACATACCTATCGCCTCGCTTATTTTTACACAAGCGATACTACAAGATCTTAGGTACATGAGTAAATGTTTTTAATCAGTTGAGCTACAAAAGCGTCTTGCCATAATACTGTTGCTTGCAACAGGTGAAACACTTGAGACTCTGGATCTTCGAGTGTAGAGAACCAAGCCATGCAGCATTCAAGCTAGGGTTAGCTGCAGCCGGACTTCTGGTTCTTGCACATGTTATTGCAAACTTGCTTGGTGGATGCAACTGCATTTGTTCTCAGGATGAACTCCAAAAGGCCCCTCCTAATAAGCAACTCTCTGTCGCTTGCCTCGTCTTAACTTGGTACATGTCGATAATCGATGATTAGGTTAATAGTTTAGCGGTTGCATTTGATAACCATGATCGTTTTCAGTTTTCAGTTTTCTTTTCATGTTCTTAATTTGTTCGTCGTTGATGATCAGGATCATTTTGGCCGTTGGATTGTCGATGCTGGTGATAGGAACTTGGTCAAACCACAAGTCAAGATCTTCATGTGGTTTCACACACCATCATTTTCTGTCGATTGGAGGCATCGTGTGTTTTGTTCATGGGTTGTTTTGTGTAGCTTATTACATATCTGTCACTGCCTCTACTGGTTAATACTTTAGTTAGTTTCGTTAATTAAGCCGCGATTAAGGATTAATGTTACCTAGTTAGTTTCGTTAATTAAGCCGTGATTAAGGATTAATGTTACCTTGTTCATTTGCTGTTTTACTTTACTAATCCATCCCTTTCATGCAACGTCCTATCATCTAAATCGAACCCTTTACTCCCTCTTTCCAAGCGAGACAATAGTAGTGCAAATCTTTCTTTTACTACTTTGATTAATTTAATACAATGCGCTAATCTTTCTTTTCCACTGATTAGTTAGGATACGGAATGGAGATTATAATAATAATAATAATATAACGATAATGTTGGATGTTTCTTTATTTTGTTTTGTCTTCCCTTCTCTTTTAAAGGATGCATATGAATTGCGTATGCATTAACGTGTGTGGTATGTCGTAATCCTGAGATATAAATATAGAATTTACGGATCTCTATAATTACATTATTAATAATTTTTATATATAAAGCCATCATTCTAAAATGATGAAACTTTCAATAATCCATTAAACTTAATATTATAAAGTCGGTTGAAATAAATATTAATAATCTCTATATATAAAGTCAGCATTCCAAAACGGTGAAGCTATATATAAAAAACGCGTAGAATATAAATAAATAAAAAAGAAAAAAGAAAAAAAAAGAGGTAATTTATAGAGATAAAATAGTAAAATGACTATATTTTGAATTAAAAGAAAATTAATTAAAAATTCTAAAAAATTAAAAGAATTCTACGTAAAAAGCAAATTGCCACACACGCTAGGGCGTTGCAAGAGATCCATTAAACTTAAATTTCGATGTAACATGATTTATTTTAATTGAAAGCTTAATCTACCATAAGATTAATCTAAGGCTCATATGAAAGAGATCTTCAAAATGAGGACCTTACAAGAGCATCTATAGATCAAATGGCCCATAAATAGGTAATTAAGCTGATACAACACAAAAAATTTACCTTGGAAGTGCCCAAATCTTCGCTAAGTCGAGTAATTAGAGATGACCAATATATAATTTGAGAGCCATGCTAAAAGGAGTTTAGTGAGCTTTTTGTTGTGGCGTGACATCCTTGCAACAAATAAGCATGCAGAATTGCTCCAGGACCAGCCATTGAAGTCCATGCATTCTTTAGGTACTCTTCTAGGGTTGGTGTGTATCCACTATAAATGATGTACAAGATGGTAAGTGCAAGCACATACAAACGATATTAGAGGATAGAGAGTCGAACTTCAGAATTTTTTAGTGTAAAAGTAAATGTTTTTAACTAACTAAGCTACAAGTCTGTTGTTGGTTACCTCTTTCTTAATATAGGGGAGGATTACATGATAAGTGCCTTAGTTAAAGCACTTTGACCTCGTTTGGTACGGATCATTGAAATAGAATGGATAAACCACTATTTTAAGGTATGTTGAAGGCATAAGAGAAAAAATTGTAACCAACTGGAGCTAGGAATAGATTGCTCAAGAGCAAAATGTACATCCTTTCCAATCCTCCCCAAAATAGTAGGATTAGAAGGGAGAAGATATCTTCATGTTTAATTCCCTTCTAATCTTCTCAGAATACCTTAAATATGGAGTGTTATCTCATTCCAATCCAATTCTCTATACCAAACGAGACCTTACGGTGTTCATTAAGTGATTATAAGGAAATTACCTCTCAAGTGTTTCTTCCTAGAAGTGATTCTAGCATCAAAATAATTGCTTATTGTTTAGCGTATGGCAATTGCTTAGCAAAATTCACATTAATCTTTGGGAAATGTTACCTGGCGAGAAACACTTCCTTCAGAGAGAAGGGGAAATGTTGCTGGCGAGAACACTCCCTTCAGAGAGAAGGGAAGAGAGATTGGGACGGGAAGGGGAGAATTGCCCCCGCCCCGGGGGTGTGGTGGGGGGTATTGGTGGGAATTGAGTCCCGATGACACATTCAATCATCTTTCACCAAGTGCATCATCAAAGAGCCATGCTACTCTATTTTCTGGATGTATCAAGAAACTACGATTTGTTTCTGCAGGAGTTGCCAGAACGCAGAACCAGAGCTAACTAAAAGCACAGTGGATGTAGGAGAACACTACAGGCAGAAAGAAACACACAGGAGGCTAACTCGCCTCTGTGTATGGGAGGAGCTCGCCTTGATACATAGTGTTGCAAATCCATGTACATGGAGCAGCACAGGCAGAAAAACCCACTAAAGAGACTAAACAGTTCGTGTCAATCGAAAGTTCGAATCTGCATTAGCAAAACCTGCACCAAAAGATTGCCTAGGTCCAAATTCAACATCCTCCAAGTAGACTGGCGGGGCAAACACTGCCACTTAGAAAGGGCGTCTCTTTGGATCTAGGCACAAGTGGACAGAGTCTAAAGTTTCGTATCAACACAAATGCAGAAGGGATTAGTAGCCAGAATATTTGAAACCATAAACTTTATACAAACTCTTATCCAGATGCACAAGTTCTAATTGATGAATGTAAACATGCACAAATTACATATCCTAGCCACCGTCCACCATTTGAAACACTATCCAAGTAAAAGACCCCTACAATATGATAGTTCTATCGTGTTAGTCATTAACTCTAATATCCCTTGAGAACATATAGCAACTAAAAAATTCGGATAGACAAGTCGCTGGTGTCCACAAAGCTTACTGATTGGTTAATGTTATCAGTTACCATCCTGATTCTTCAGACAACAAGGAAACTCTTCAAGATGGACTCTACTTACCAGTAAGAATGTGTATTAATTAGGAGCAGGATTGTGAAATGCATCAAAATTGTATTAAACTCTTGGACACAACTCCCTAGCAAGCTAGTTTTACAGGGACAAGTTTATATCATTTGGTACCATAGCATCCATACGCAGGGTACACGGTACAACTCCATGGTGAAGTAACCTTAGGGAGGGTTGATATCTGTAGACAGAACAGAAGGACCACCGAAGTCACCCAACTTGGAAGGATGGGCCTCCAGGACAACAATTGTGGAACATGATTGAATGTTATGGGATGGCTTATGATTCTATATCTAAGATTGGGACTAGAGTGCATATGTGAAATACTCGACAGCATTCCCTTTTTACAGGGACAACTGTTCCCCTGAGTTCATATCAACTTGATAAATTGCCTACCTGATTCTTCAGACTACAGATACATAGAGTCCTACCAACATCCCCCACCACCAATAAAACAAATTGATACCGTGCAATTTTCTTTTCCGGTTACATGAAGGCAAAGCCAACGAACTAAACAACAATCATCCTAGACCGGACTTAACAGTCTTATCAGTTACCGTGCAATTTGTAATATTATATTTCCAAATCAACCAGACTATTCATCAGACGTCTCTTCCAGTACAACAAATCAAAAGGAATTCAATTCCAATGAAGGTAAACTGCAAAATATAGAGGCACAATGCCATACAGAAAATTACTTGAATTATAAGAAAATGATCTCCATGTGACACATCATGTATAGAGCAAAATTTGAGAACCTCCAAGCATCAAACAAAACAGGTTCTATCATAAGAGAACCTATACCACTAAGTTTTCGACTCAAAATATTAACATAAAATCCATGAAAAACCATGAACTACCTTCAAGATAACCTCTAATCCTTCAAAGACTTCATCGAATCCAATACAAGTTTAGTCTGCTCCTGTATCAAATCAAGCTTCTTGACAGACAAATCCATTTCAATGAGCTGCAATACCCTCCACCTCTCCTCCAACTCTTTAGCCTTGGAACTCCCAACCAAAGAAGGCATCTTCTCAATCAAAAGTCTAGTTAAATCCGACCTCGGTGCACAATTGCCCGTCCTCAAAGAACCACTCAGACATGGATACTTAGACCAAAAGTCGTCCTGGTCAGCCTTAACTCCTCTATTAGTCACATTATTCTGCACCTCTTTCTTCACAGACACGTCTGAAACCGGCAAGGCCAGAACCGTATCATTGTTAACCTTATTATTCTTCCTCAGCGGCTTCCTCTTACCGCCCTTTACATTGCTATCGAGTCCATTAGCCTCAGAACCCCAAATCTTTTTGCACAGCTCAAAGCACTTAAGCTCATGGGGCTTCGAAAACACCGGGTCCTCGCCATCCTCTCCAGCCTGGTACTTCTTCTTCAATCTCCTGATCTTATCAGTCAACTTCTCAACCAATTGGTCGATGCTCAAATCGACCTGCAAATTATTCTTGATGAACTCAAGGAATGGGGCCACATTCGAACTCGCCGCCACACCTTTCTTGCTTTCGAACTCTATAATGCCCTTCAGGATCGTTATCTCATCGTCCTCGCTCCAAAAACGCTGCCCCTTTTTAGCATCCTCATCGTCGCCGCCGACTTTCTTCTTCTTTGAGTTTTTCGGCTTGGGCTCGGTCTCCGCCGGTCGCTTCGACCCGGAACTGGGCGCGGCCGCCGGCTTCGCCGAAGCAGTCTTCTTGCTGGGCATAACGGCGTTCGCGGGCTTGGAGACGATCGGCTTGACGGTGAAGTCGGAAGCTGACGGCGAGTGGTTATCGGACTCGGTCTCCGACCCGGATCCGGAATCGTCTTCGGAGGCAGAACCCGATTGGGGATTTGACTTCGTGACCGCCGCAGAGGGCTTGTCTTCCTCCTCCTCCTCCTCTTCCTCCTCCTCCTCCTCCTCTTCTAAATCATCGTCATTGAGATCCACAGATCTTGCTTTGCTGACTTCAACGGCGTCATCTTCTTCCTCTTCCTCTTCGTCGATGGTTTCATCGTCGGAGTCCTCCACCACGGCGGGCGGCGGGTCTTCTGCAAGCTTCTTCGGAGCCATCGGAGGAGAGAAAGTGAGGGTCTTGAATTGGGAAAGCTTTGATTCTGTAACAGAGCCGAGCGACAGTCAAAAGCGAGAGCCCTTTCTTCGAGGACAAAGGGCTTATATAGAGTTTAGTAGTAGGGTTTTCACCAGAAACTTAGTGACGTGTCGGTAATCTATTGGCCTAAGACGGTGGGACCGCGTCGTTTTGAGTTACCTTTCAAAGTTTATATTATTGTTAATTTGACTTGTGTGAAATTAAAGGGGAATTTTTATAATAAAATAAAATTTGATTTGTGTGAAATTATATTATTGTTAAATTTATTTATGTTCAATTTTAATTAGAATATTAAAATGGTATTATATGAAATTTTGATTGACAATCGGGATTTTATTAATATGTAATTTAAATTATAAATGGGAAATATGATAAAACGATGACTAATGTTGCGTAGATTGGTTTTTTAGATTACATTTATAAATCATCAACAATCACGTTATACAGATTAAAAAAATATAATTTAAATGGATAATTTCTCTAACATTATCCTAAAACGAGAGAAATGTTGATATGGTAATATATACAATCAATTTTCAATGTTCAATCGGTATATTGTTTCATGATAGCTGCAAAATATGAGTGCATATTCGTATGTAATTATGACGACTGACGATTCACTCACATCGATGCATGTTTGCCTGAGCATTCACATTAGTCATACTGCTTGTTCGCTTACAATGTTGCAATCGATCGGAGATATAAGATTCAAAGGAGTAATTTGTGAGTCAAATTAAGCATGTTCCAAGTTTTCGAGTTACAGTAAACCTCACATGATAGAATCCAAATTATGTTTTGGTAATAAGAGTGTAAAATTATAAACGATGGAAAAAACAACTAAGTTTCTGATCTTTCAAACTTCACAAGTCTTTTTGTACATAAGAAATCCCATTTGCCTTTGGATCCATGGAGTCCCTCTGTGCAACCAACAAATTTCAAAAACAAAATTCTAGGGTTTCAGTCGTTCATTCATCTTTCACCATATGCAAAGTGCATCATCAAAGAGCCATTCAACTCGATTTGTTTATTCACTTTCTGGATGTATGCAGAAAAGAACTAAAATTTGTTTCTGAGGAGTGGTCAGAACGCAGAACCAGAGCTAAGGCAGATGTAGAAGAACAGGCAGAAAGGAACACACAGGAGGCTAACTCGCCTCTGCGTATGGGAGCTCGCCTCGGAACATAATGCTCGAGCTCATAGTGTTGCAGATCCATGTAGATAGAGCAGCACAGGTGAAGAGAACACTAAAGAGACTAGAACAGCATTTTTCGTGTCAATGGAGTTTGAATCTACGTTAGCAAAACCTGCACCAAAAGATTGCCTCGGTCCAAATTCAAACATCCTTCAAATAGATCAGCGGGGCAAAAACTGCCACTTAGAAAGTGCATCACTTTGGATCCAGGCAACAGTGGACACAGTCAAAAGTTTCATATCAATGCAGATGCAGAAGGGATTTGTAGCCACCTTCCACCATTTGACACACTATCAAAGTAAAAGACCCCTACAGTATGATAGTTCTTTCACAATCATTAACTCTAATCTCCCTTGAGAACGTATAGCAAGTGAAAAATTCGGATAGATGGGTCTCTGGTGTCCATAAGAAGCTTACAGATCTTCAAGATGGACTCTAATTACCAGCAAGAATGTGTATTAATTAGGAGCAGGATTTTGAAATGCATCAAAATTGTATAAACTCTTGGACACAACTCCTTAGCAAGCTAATTTTACAGAGACAAGTTTATATCATTTGGTATAATAGCATCCATACGCAGGGTACACGGTACAACTCCATGGTGAAGTAACCTTAGGGAGGGTTGATATCTGCAGACAGAACAGAAGGATCGCCGAAGTCACCCAACATGGAAGGATGGGGCCTCCAGGACAACAATTGTGGAACATGATTGAATGTTATGGTACGGCTTATGATTCTATATCTAAGATTGGGACTAGAGTGCATATGCGAAATATTCGACAGCATTCCCTTTTTACAGGGACCAATCTTCCCCTGAGTTCATATCAACTTGATAAATTGCCTACCTGATTCTTCAGACCACAGATACACAGTCCTACCAACATCCCCACCACCAATAAAACAAATTCATACTATGCAATTTTCTTTTCCGGTTACATGAAGGCAAAGCCAACGAACTAAACAACAATCATCCTAGGCCGGACTTGCCAGTCTTATCAAATACCGAGCAATTTGTAATATTATATTGGGTTATTATACAAAATGGTCCGAATTGAAAATCAATAGAAATGGTCCCTGAGATTGTCCTTCATCTATGATTTTGGTCATTCCGTTAAAAACTCTTTGACAATTTTCAAAGCTTCGTAACTGAATCGATTCTTATCCAAATTCGACTCATAATATATCAAAATGAAGCTAAGAAAGTATAGAACAAGATTATATCTATTTGGAAGCCCAATGATTGCCGGAGATGGCCGAAAAATAGCCTAAAAGGTGACTGGTCAGCCGGAAAACTGGAAAACTCGCCGGAAACTGGGTAAACAACTCGCCGGAAACTGGGTAAACTTTAAACGTTCATAACTTATTCAATACTTAACGAAATTGAGTGATTCAAAAACGAAAATCATACTACTCGACGAGACGAAGAGAATGGTATCTTTCTTTACTCCTAACTCGTGGTGGTTTGGCCGGAAGACTGCATGAAAGTGGCTAACTCGAAAATGGTTAGCCACTTTCGAGCCATTGTCCGACCAAACCACGGCAAGTTAGCCTTCGAAAAATATATCATTCTCTTCGTGTCGTCAAGAAGTATTATTTTTGTTTTTGAATCACTCGATTTGGTTGAGTATTGAAGAAGTTATGAACGTTTAAAGTTTACCCAGTGAGTTTTTCAATTTTCCCGCGAATCAATCACGTTTCAAACTATTTTCCGGCATCTTCATTTTGATATATTATGAGTCGAATTTTATTAATAAACGATTAAGTTACAAAGTTTTGAAAATTGCCTAAAATCGTTTTGAACGGAAGGACCAAAATCATGGATGGTGGACAACTATCTCTATTGATTAAATCTCAGCAACCATTTTATATAATAACCCTCCCAATCAACCACACTATTCATCAGACATCATCCAGTACAACAAATCAAAAGGAATTCAATTCCAACGAAGGTAAACTGCAAAACAAATAGAGCCACAATGCCATGAAGAAAACTACTTGAATTGTACGAAAATGATCTCCACGTGACGCAGTCATGTATAGAGCAAAACATTGTTCTTTACCAAAATTTGAGAACCTCCATGGATCAAACAAAACAGGTTCTATCACAAGAAACCTATACCACTAAGTTTTCGACTCAAAATATTAACATAAAATCCATGAAAAACCATGAACTACCTTCAAGATAACCTCTAATCCTTCAAAGACTTCATTGAATCCAATACAAGTTTAGTCTGTTCCTGCATCAAATCAAGCTTCTTGACAGACAAATCCATTTCAATAAGCTGCAATGCCCTCCACCTCTCCTCCAACTCTTTAGCCTTGGAACTCCCAACCAAAGCAGGCATCTTCTCAATCAAAAGTCTAGTTAAATCCAAACTCGGTGCACAATTGCCCGTCCTCAAAGAACCACTCAGACATGGATACTTAGACCAAAAATCATCCGGGTCAGCCTTAACTCCTCTATTAGTCACATTATCCTGCACCTCTTTCTTCACAGACACATCTGAAACCGGCAAGGCCAGAACCGTATCATTGTTAACCTTATTATTCTTCCTCGGCAGCTTCCTCTTACCGCCCTTTACATTGCTATCGAGTCCATTAGCCTCAGAACCCCAAATCTTTTTGCACAGCTCAAAGCACTTAAGCTCATGGGGCTTCGAAAACACCGGGTCCTCGCCATCCTCTCCAGCCTGGTACTTCTTCTTCAATCTCCTGATCTTATCAGTCAACTTCTCAACCAATTGGTCGATGCTCAAATCGACCTGCAAATCATTCTTGATGAACTCAAGGAATGTGGCCACATTCGAACTCGCCGCCACACCTTTCTTGCTTTCGAACTCTATAATGCCCTTTAGGATCGTTATCTCATCGTCCTCGCTCCAAAAACGCTGCCCCTTTTTCGCATCCTCATCGTCGCCGCCGACCTTCTTCTTCTTGGAGTTTTTCGGTTGGCCTCGGTCTCCGCCGGTCGCTTCGACCCGGAATTGGGCGCGGCCGCAGGCTTCGCCGAAGCAGTCTTCTTGCTAGGCATAACAGCGTTGTTGGCGGGCTTGGAGACGATCGGCTTGACGGTGAAGTCGGAAGCTGACGGCGAGTGGTTGTCGGACTCGGTCTCCGACCCGGATCCGGAATCGTCTTCGGAGGCAGAACCCGACTGGGGATTTGACTTCGTGACCGCCGCAGAGGGCATTTTCTTCCTCCTCCTCTTCCTCCTCTTCCTCTTCTAAATCATCGTCATTGAGATCCACAGATTTTGCTTTGCTGACTTCAACGGCGTCGTCTTCTTCCTCTTCCTCTTCGTCGACGGTTTCATCGTCGGAGTCCTCCACCACGGCGGCCGGCGGGCCTTCTGCAAGTTTCTTCGGAGCCATCGGTGGAGAGAAAGTGAGGGTCTTGAATTGGGAAAGCTTTGATTCTGTAACACAGCCGAGCGACAGTCGGAAGTGAGCCTTTACATCGCGGACAAAGGACTTATATAGAGCTTCGTAGTAGGGTTTTCACCAGAAACTTTGTGACGTGTCGGTAATCTATTGGCAGAAGACGGTGGGACCACGTTGTCTTGAGTTACTTTCCAAATTTATCCCACGTTAATTAAACGGGAATTTTTATAATAAAACAAAATTTGATTTGTGAGAAATTATATTATTGTTAATTTTTATTTATGTTTAGTTTTAATTAGAAAATTAGAATGGTACCATATGAAATTTTGATTGGCAATCGGAATTTTATTAATATGTAATTTAAATTATAAATGGGAAATATGATAAAACGAGGAGTAATGTTGCGTAGATTGACTTTTTATATTACATTTGCAAATCATCAAAAATCATGTTATACAGATTAA